CCGCCACGGACCCCCCGATGCGCAACGTCTCCTTCGCCGCCCCTGCCAATAACAAGGGCAAGCACAGCATCGGGTGTCTCTTTTGGCTGCTCGCCAGGATGGTTCTGCAGATGCGCGGTACCATCCGTGCCGGGCACAAGTGGGATGTTATGGTCGACTTATTTTTCTATAGGGAGCCTGAGGAGGCCAAGCAACACGAAGATGAAGAAGCCGTCGTTGCCCCTGACTATGGTATTACTGATTATTCCGCTGCTGCTGTTGGCGTTCCTGACTATGGTCTTGCCACTGACCAGTGGCCCACCCAGATTACTGATGCTTCATGGGCTGCGGACGTTCGTCCTCCGATCCCGGCTGTTGCTGCTGACGGCTGGGCTGCTGAAGCAGGTAATAAAGTTTTTTACAATGTAAAAGAGAAATGTTTGCTTGCTTTGGTTATGGTTTCACTGACCCATGTGGTTTATCTTACTTGCAGCTCCAGCTCCAGCTCCAGCTCCAGCTCCAGCTCCAGCTCCAGCTCCTTTAGCAGCAGAAGGGTGGGATGCTGCTATTCCACCTCGACCATTGGCCGGAACTGAATCTGAAGGTGTTCCTCCTCCTTCTGGCTGGGAATGAGGACCGACTGTAATAGGAATTGCTTAAATGCGCTAGTTAATATGATATTTGTTTTTTTTACTCTCTTTTTTCTTCTCTTCTCTTTAATTTAGTGTTTCAATATGGGCAGTTTTACTTGCTGTGAGCTTCAGAGCTTGTTCTTTCTTTTTTTTTTCCCCTCCTCCTGTGGGACAACAGTTGAGTTCTTGATGTTGAATAGCTACTCTAGTATGTGGAAATTTTGGACATTTGAAAACCATCGCGTTCATACACTGATATCAATGTTAATGTTGTGGAGAAAACCTCGCTCTATAATTATAGTTTGGATATTTCAGACACTTGGGCCCGGGGAATTTTGTTATTCTTCTTCTGCTCCAGAAACCAATCACAATTTTAAGGGGGTTTGTTTCCTCACCTGGAAATGGCTCTGCGAGTGCAACTCATTCTAATGGCAAGGGTACCACAATCTTTACCACCACTCAATAACAACAACAAAAACAACCTCACAGCTCCTCCTAATTCCTCATCTCCTTTACCAAATCTGCATAATCAATCAACAGTCTTCTCTTGCGATATATATTTGTTGACTTGCTACAAGTAGAGCTCCTAATTAATTTTGCTAAGTCAATTTAAGCAAAGTATTCCATCTGCAACTTCTGATTTGTAATCATTGACAATGGGCGCACCCGCACGGGTCAGCTATTAAGTTCAACAAACAAACTCTCTCTCTCTCTCTCTCTCTGAGAATCATGCTCGAGTGTAGTTTATTAAGGATTTTCTCGTGACTGTTTTGTTCTTCATTGGGAATTGGAAGGCTTATTTGATCATCTATATATATATATATATAAAGGATTCATCAGATTCTGCTATTCTACTCCATGCAGTGATTCCTCATTATCCTAAATTGGAGAGCTTGTCTATCTGGCACGTGATGATGATTTTATCTATCTCTTGCTTTATTTCCTTTCTTAATCAATTTAACCAGAAATTTATCTACTTGGAAGATTCCTCTCTTTGCTTTTATTTTATTTTTCTTTTTATTTGTATCTAGTTGGAAGAATATCTCTACTCTTCACTTAAAAAAAAAAAAAAAAAAAAAAAAATCGGGTGCAATAGGGGACCGTTGCCCCGTTGCTTTTTGCCCCGCCCCGCCCCGCTCCATTTATGACATATCATTTCTTTTGTTTATCTTAAATAAATCTTAAAATAACGGAGCTGCTCTACTTACAATTATCTACCATCTGATTATTATTTATTTTTATGGAATAAATAAGTTACAAAAGCGAGCGCACAATTGTTGATTGATTGATTGTTTGTTTGTTTGTTCGAAAAAATAACATTTGAGATTTGAGATCAGAGGTAGATTAGTAGTTGAGGGTTGACCGTTGAGAATGTCGGCCATTGATCCTAACAACAACAACAAGGAGAAGAAGAAGATCATCATCGACACCGATCCTGGTATTGGTATGTATGTCATTTTCTATATTGTATTGTATGATCATGATTCTCGATTTCATTTGAATTGAAGCGATTAATCTCTCTCGTTCTCTGTGATTTGGATTTGGATTTGGGTATGTGTGTATATGATGATATGAATGACAGATGATACGATGGCGATATTCGTGGCATTGAGGTCTCCGGAGGTGGAAGTGATTGGACTCACCACCATCTTCGGCAACGTCTACACCACTCTCGCCACCAGAAACGCCTTGCATCTCGTACAATTCTCAGAAATTCCCTTATTTTCTATATTATCATTATCCATTTAACTTTTCTTTTGAATGATTACTAAACTAATCACAAGTAGTTTTGGTCGCTTATAGTTGGAGAATGCTGGGAGAACCGATATCCCTGTCGCTGAAGGATCTCATGTCACCATCACTGTACGCAGTGCATATTCTACTTACACATATTATATCTAATATATATATATATAACTAGCTGAATGAAGTAGTATACTAACTCACTGAATGAATTTCCTCTGTCATTACAAAAAAAAAAAAAAAAAAAAAAAACGGCACAAAGCTTCGTATAGGAACGGCACAAAGCTTCGTATAGCTGACTTTGTTCATGGCGTGGATGGACTTGGCAACCAAAATTTCCCTCCACCAAAAGGAAAGCCCATTCAACAGTCGGCACCTGCTTTTCTGGTTGAACAAGCCAGCCTTTACCCTGGACAACTAACCGTCGTAGCCCTCGGCCCCCTTACAAACATTGCACTGGTCTTCTCTTCTAATTCTCAATCTCCACTTTCTTCTTCATTATTACTTTTCAACTCTTGGCTTTCATTTCATTTCTCTTCATATATGTATATATATCTTGTAATCACAGGCTATTCAACTCGATCCCGCTTTTGCAAAGAATGTTGGCCAGATTGTTGTTCTTGGTGGTGCTTTCTTCGTCAATGGGAATGTCAACCCAGCTGCAGAAGCCAATGTAAGTACTAAGTACCCATCTAGTTTTCCCAACCAAAGTTTTGAACTCTCTAAATTCGACTCCAAAGTGTAGGCCATATTTCAACTCATCTACTGAGCACTGACTAACCCTTCAGTTGGTTGAATGACCAGATATTTGGGGATCCAGATGCTGCAGATATTGTATTTACTAGTGGAGCAGATGTCTTGGCTGTAGGGATTAATGTTACTCATCAAGTCATTTTGACGGGTATGTCCTTTTTTATAAGTCAAGTTTTCATGTGAAATTCAAGTTAATGCTTCCCGTTAGGAACCCTGGTAATTTGGTTCAATGAGTTGAATATTGTTTTGCAGTTAGTCAAGCTAGAGTCACTCCTTCCGCAATACTCAGTAACTTCTTTTTGTTTCAAATCTTTATTCCCCACCCCAATGGTCTTCTGTAATAACTGTTCTACTGGTATTCTTTGACAGTTTTTGCAACATTTTTTACTTCTTTAATGAAGTCAAAGTCTCATCTGTAGTTGAGAGTAAGGTTTGAGAAGGGCATGTTCTGCAGTTATTAATCTGAGAAGGAATTTCAATTAGTCCTGTAGTTCAATTATGATTGTTCATTTTGTTCTTTCTTTACGACACTGTTTAAAAAATTTTGAAACATTCCAGATGCTGATCGAGCTGTATTGGCGAGTTCCAATGGAAAATTTGCTCAATACTTGTGCAAAGTTTTAGAGGTGTACTTCTCGTATCATCGTGATTCATATAGCATGGGAGGTTTGTATACACTAATGTAAAGCTTTGCTTGAGGAAGCATAACAATTATGAATGTGGAGAATGAGTGATGGTAGGTTTGTTGTAGGAGTTTACCTTCATGATCCGACGGCCCTTCTTGCAGCCGTGAATCCGTCGCTAGTGACTTACACAGAGGGTGTTGTGAGAGTCCAGACTAGTGGAATCAGCAGAGGACTCACCATATTGTACAATAAACAGAAAAGGTAGGGTAGGGACTATTTACATACGGAATCAGCAGCTTCTTAAAAATGTTTGGTTTGTGTTTTGTGTGTGTAATTAGTTACTGATGAAATGACCTGAAATGAAGGTTTGGGGAAGTGACAGAATGGTCGGATAAACCAACGGTGAAGGTGGCGGTCACGGTTGATGCTCCTGCTGTCATCAAAACAGTGATGGAACGTCTCATGGAGTCGTGATACACGACTGATCTCCAATCTCTACTGCTTCATACATTTATGTATATTATGTGAACCTTTCTTCTCAATTTGTTACACTTAAACCTGTTGTTTTTGTTGTGGACTTCGCTGTTAGTTGTTTGGAATTTGGCATTTCATTATTACATGCTGAATAGGCAAAGCTTTGGTCGAGGAGGTAAAACTTTAGGACATTTGGATGCTCATGCCATGCTCCACTCCTTGGGATTGTCTCCGTCTCTTATTTTTAAATATATTTTAAATAAAGAAAATCCCAGCGCTGTGGTAAGTTTCTACTAACTCGTTTGAGCATTGAAACATTAGAGTAAAATTGTCTGAAAGTCATCAGAATCCATTCTTAAAAGCAGTGGCCTTTCTTTTTCTTTTATAACTAATTTCCTTATTATTGTCCTTTTGGGGTTTACCGTCTCTCTCTCCCTTTTTTTTTTTTTTTTTTTTTTTTTTTTTTTTTTTTCTACTTCGGATGGAGGACTTTAAATATTAGATATACAAAACCATAAAGCTTTTTTTAAAAAAAAATAATAATAATGTTAGAAGACTTTTGGTTGTTAGATTCTGTGTTGAGATTTTTTTTTTCCTTTTAATTCTTTTCACATTTTTTAGAGACGAGAGAGGACTGCGTGGTCTTTCATATTTGACCCTTTTTTAGTTTTTACTATTACTATACTACTACTATTATGACCAATACCAAAATCCATTCTTTCTCAAAAAAAAAAAAAAAAAAAAAAAAAAAAAAACCATTCCCTGATTTCCATGAGTAATGATGAGTACAGTATTGGACTCCTCCGAGAATAAATAAATAAATAAATATAAATAAATGAAAAAGAAAAGAAAAGAAAACAGTGTCGACTATAAATAGGGGGGATAGAACTCCGGTTGAGAGCCGAGAGAGAGAAAGAGAAGTCCTCCTCTCCATCTTCATTTTCTTTGACCTTTTTTTTTTATTTTATCGTTTTGGTCTTTAACAGACACACAGACAAACACAGGGGTTTAGGCCCTCTTCTCTCGCCCTCTATCTATATAATCATATCTATCTCTCTCTGTCACAAAACCCTAATTCGGATCGGATCGGGATCAGATTAGATCAGATCAGAACCCAGAAAATTCGAAATCAAAATCGTAATCCGAATCATTAATCAAAATGGCTCAACAAGAGGAACCGTCATCATCATCATCAGCAGATCCGACTCTATCTCGAAACGCATCGTTTAGCAAGCTCAACGCCCGGGCTCCTGAGTTCGTGCCTTCTCCGCGCTCCGAACCTCCTCCTCCGGCGGCGCCTCTCCAAGTCTATCACTCCCCTGCTCCTTCCCCTTTCCACGTTCCCATTCGCACTCACCATGTCCCTGTGGTTCCTATTCAGAATCATCACCACCCTCACCATCACCACCACCATCACCACCCTCACCATCACCTGCCGCCCATTCACTTCCATCCTCCTCCCCCGCCTCCGCCTCCGCCTCCCCCTCCGCCCCCTCACCACCACTTCTACGGCGGCGCTTCTGCTTTTTCCGACCAAGATGCGCTTCCTCCTCCTCAATCGCAACCGCCGCCCAAGCCCCCCTCCGATCACTCGGCCCCGTCCAAGAATAAGCTCTCCGACGATGCTACTCTCAAGCTCTTGAACCAGGTCAGTTCTACCACCTTCGCCCTTGTAGTTTTTTTTATTAACATGAGATTTTTACTCTTCTTCTAAGAATTAATTATAAATATGATGTTTGTTGAGGCACGGCTAGTAGAAAGAAAGAAAGAAAGTAAAGAAGATTAGACTGTGTAATTCAAAATCATCTAAATCTATCCATGGATATTCTTTCTATCTACAGGTCTTCAATTTCGATACCTTACCGAACAAGCCTACTTCACTTTAATTTAATCCTGATCTATTACGAAGCCTAACATAATTACCAATCTCTATTGTGACAGACATGTGTTGTATTTAGTAATTTACTTTTCTTTTTCAGGTGGAGTATTATTTCAGTGACTTGAATTTGGCTACCACTGATCATCTTATGAGGTTCATCAGCAAAGACCCTGAAGGCTTTGGTAAGTAGAATGTTTTTCCTTCCTTTTAACATCACATCTTCTACTTTTGTTCTGGCCACATCTTCTATTCTCTTTATTTAGATACTTGTTTGTCATTTTGATAACTTTTTATACTTTTAGAATGCAAATGTATTCGGGAATGTTCATTCATTCAGTTGCTTTCCTGTTTCTTCATCATTTTTCTAGTGCCGATATCCGTGGTTGCATCCTTCAAGAAGATTAAGGCTCTCATTAATACTCATTCCCAGCTTGCAGCTGTTTTGCGTAACTCGTCAAAGCTCGTGAGTTAATTAATATTATCTTCTCATTTATCTACTTTTAAAATTATTTCTTGTAGCCCATCGTCTATCTGTTTTACGTATGTCTTTTTATATTTGTTTGTTTTCTTTCTTGATGCCACGTCCCTTAGGTGGTTAGTGAAGATGGGAAGAAAGTTAGGCGCCTTCATCCGCTGACCGAGTCAGATATGGATGAGTTGCAGGTAGCTGCTCCATTTTTCGTTCACTTATTGGGTTTTGATACTTGACATGTGTCCTGTAAGGTTTATCTACAGTTTTTCTGGCTTAAAATGGTAATTCTCGAGTCTGCCTATTTTCATATCAAAATATTATTTATCTTACATCCATTCTGATGTGCGTAGTCTCGCATTATTGTTGCTGAGAACTTGCCTGAGGATCATTGCCACCAAAACCTCATGAAGATTTTCTCTTCTGTTGGGAGGTAATGTAATAATCACTTCTGCTGGAGAAACTTCTCATCGCCGTAGAATATGTTAGTACCATCCCGGATATTTATCTAACGTTGAGTTCTTTGGCAGTGTGAAGACGATCCGAACTTGCCAGCCGCAGACTCCCAATGGAGGGGCTCCTTCAGCATCAAGAGCAGCAAAATCTGACAACATGCTCTTTAGTAATAAGGTATGCAACTATGCATACAAGCAGAAATAGCTTAGAGCAGGTTGTCTGGCTTGTTGGTTGTTGCGTTATTTTTTTATTGCCTCCTATAGATGTCAATACTCAATATTCATTTTCCTTGTAAAACATATCCTGATTTTTGCCTCCAGCTGAATGTATGAGATTATAATGTATATGGGATTCATATGTCATTCTTTACACCTTTTGTTTTCTACTAATTTTCCTCGAGTCTTTTTAGTAATTTCATAACATGCTACTTGATTGAACACGAAGGATTTTCAGAGAAACTAGAAGCACGTTACCTTTGTTAGTAAGGTTGGAAAAGAGGGTGGGCTTGCTTAAAATTACATTGGGATATATATATGTATATATATATATATATTTTTCTTCACGGCTTTGATTATGGTTCTCCTGAGGAAGGCTCACTCTGTGAATTTGTGTTCTGTTTGACTTCCATGCTGTGCAATTTTCTTTCTGGCAATTCGCATAATTTGGCCTATCAAATTGATGATGAAGAGATATGAATGGCGTTTTCTAATATGCTGGCTTTGTTAGTTTTTATGCTTCTATTTCAATAGAAGATACTTGTCTGTATTTATTATTATTAAAGTTGAAAATAAAAAAAGGGTAAGTTGCATTTCTTTGACCGAGATAATTAGACATTGTGTTTGGGTCTAAATATGCTCGGTGATATATTTATTGCATCGATAAGTTTTTGTACATGTAAAAGTAAGAGGAGGATACAAAGACCTAACCTTTGGCGTCTTCTGTTGTTCAGTTGCATGCTTTTGTCGAATATGAATCTGTCGAGCTAGCTGAGAAGGCTGTAAGTACCTGTTTTCCATCATCTTACAGTGTTTTGTCTTTTTCAAATGCTTGCTCTGCTGTGAGAAATAATAATGCGTTTTAGATGTTTGCAGGTTACAGAGTTGAATGATGAGGGAAACTGGAGAAGTGGTCTTCGGGTCCGTTTAATGGTCAAACGCATGGTATACATCAAAGGTTTTTTTTGTTCTTTGCATAGTTGAATAGATATGGAGAGGCTTATTATTTTGGACATGTTATTTACTGCCAAAATTGGTCCAAGTATTTGATAAAGTATGTCTGATGTATGGCTGCATGCGGTTGCACTAGGGTACTGATGCATATATCTGTCCATTTGCAGTCGAAACCTTCTCAAGTCCGGGGAAGAAAAGGGCATGATGGGGATATGCAAGGTGAGGAAGATGATGCTTGTACAACTGAGTCACCAGTCAACAGTAAGCAATTAGAAGATGCTTCTCAGCAGTCTGACGCGCCTTCACATGAACACCCAGTAAGTGCAAGCAGACTTCTGTTCTGTTACAAATGAATGTTTGTGGGAACCTCCTTTTTTTTTTTTGGGGGGGGGGGGGAAGAAATGCTTTCCGCTGTGACGTGTATTTTGAGAACATACTTGGCAAATGAAAGTCCAGGGATGATGCATGGGCTTTGTTGGCATTGAACTCTTTTTTTCTTTTTTTGGTTTGGTATGGCAGGGGGAGGAGCATGTGAGTGACAAGGAGGGTGGGCAGAAAAAAGGGCGTAGCCGGGGACGCGGCAAGGGGCGTGGAAGAGGTCATTATCACCACAATAACCGTGGGAATAATGTCGTGGGAACTCCACCTTCAAATAATAATTCAGTTGGTATGGAGTCAGGTGTAGCAAAGCAACAGCCTCCTGGACCGCGTATGCCAGATGGCACCAGAGGATTTGCAATGGGCCGTGGGAAGCCAGTCGCTGTTAATATCACATAATGACTGGGATTTCGAGTGCTGCTTGTGTATCTTTAGCTGCTTCGCGATACATGGTCGGGTGTATGGTAGAGAACTGTGTTCCAGCGGGGTGTTGATGGCAATGGTTTTACAAAAGGGCTGTCAATAATTCCCAAACGATGGTGGAGAGGTTTGTTAAGAGTCAGTTTGAGTGTACTCTCGTCTACTTCTACTATTTGTGTTTTCAGATCAGGGTGTGGTCAAGAAAATGTGATTCTGGCCTCCCTTTTTTTTCCTCAATATAATGTAGAAAAGAAAAGAAAAGAAAAAAAAAAGCAAAAAAGAAAACAGTTGAGAGTCACCAATACCTATATAGATAAAAAGAGTGTAGAAATGACATTGAAAGAGAACTTACTCTAATGGGTTTGTGATTCATCATTCGTCAAATGTGTGCTGAACCTTGCATAAGCCTCTCGGTCTGCATTTATTTCGTGACAAAATTGGCCTTTTATTCAGCATCCTTTGGTTCATGTGTTTGAATTGGAATCACAATTCAACCATTTTTTCAAACTTGTTTTCTTAAACAAAAATTTGAGGCCTGTTAGTTTCGTAAATTCGAGTACTGTAATAGAAAAAGTTAGATGAAATATTTTTTGAGAATATTTAATTATAAAAATTTAAAATTGAAAACTCGTTACGTAAATTTGGACAATAACTTTTATCTCAAACATATGTACTAAGCACATGATCAGTTTTAAAGAAAACAGTATTGGTTAGCACACGAGCAATGTTTTTATTATTATTATTATTTTTTAAAACAAAGGGTTTTGAGTTGAGGGGTTGATGATGCAGTTGGACGTACAAAATATACTCCAGCTTAATGGACAAACTCATTACTAATATTTTCCACCTTTATCACTTAATGCCTTTGAAATACTTTTATTTTGTGGATTTTATTTTATTTTATTTTTCTTAATGCACATTTTATTTTATTTTTTTCAATATCGATGCTTCATGTGCAATAATAGAAGTATATAGCACATAACATAAAAGTAAAAAAAAAAAAAAAAAAAAAAAAAAAAAAATACAATAACATTTTATCAGGTAACAATTTCAACATATTACTCCTTATACAATATCCACATCTTCAGTAAATAATTGGCGATCACTGCAGGAAAACCCGCACTCTCGATGGTACTTTCCTGATTCAAAGGGGGAAAAAAAAGAAATTGCCTAAAATATATATAAAAGTAAAGGGAATAGAGGGTAGAAAAGAAAATGCAGAATATCTAGGGAAAACAAATTAGCGGAGGAGAGGGCGGAGAGAGAGTTGGTGGGTCCGTCCGTCACACCCTCAGAGGACTCAGCAGTTTTATTTGTAGAAAGAGAAGAGAGAGAAGGAGAAACCCCAACAAAAAAAAAAAAAAAAAAAAAAAAAAAAAAAAAAAGAAAAAAAAAAAAAAAAAAAAAAAAAAAACAACAAGACAATGGCGGACTCAGCAACGGCGCCACCACCAGCGGCCATTGAAGCTCCAGCTCCAGCTCCAGCTCCGCCAGCAGCGCCACCAGCAGAAGCGGCGCCGTTCTCGCTTTGGTCTTTCCCAGGGAGACAAAGGCCGGGCATCAGACTTACGTCAGAGTTCGACAGCGAGAGCTCCGTCTTCTTCCACAAGCTGTCGTTGAAGCTCTTCGATAATCTCGCCAAGCTCAAGCTCTCCTTCAACAACGACCACCGCGGCCAAGTCTCTCAACCGCAGCTGGCCTTCATCTCCAAACATCTGTCTCTCCATTACGATCTCGAAGACCACAACACTCTCCTCAAAGGCTCCTTCGATCTCGCTCCGGGCCTCAATCTCCGCGCTGTCCACGATGTCAACGCCCAGCAAGGCGAGCTCTCCGTGCTTGCAAACCTCTCCGACCCTAATTATGCCTTTCAGCTTTCCTCTCCCGTTCCTTCCATCGGTTTGGTGGTCAGTGTCTCTCTCTCTCTCTCTCTCTCTCTCTCTCTCTTCTCATGAATAATCTCTAGTCATAGCATGGATGTTTGGAATTGTGAAATGAAATAAAAATCATCATCATAATTTTAGTCATCTTGATTTGGTATCTGCAGCCAAAGGCAACGTTGAAATTCCCTCTTGGTGAAGTGTCGTTGGAAGAGAGAGAAGATGAGGAAGTGAAGAGAGTTTTGTCAATTAATGGAATTGTCAAAGCCAATGTTTTCAATGGTGTCTGCACTGCTCAGTATGCCGATGACGATTTGAAACTCAGATACTCCTTTAAGGTCGCTTTCCTTTTTCTATGCTTCTCATTTCATCTTCTTCTTCATCGTTATTAGCCGTCTCTCTCTCTCTTTTTCCTTTTTCTTTCATAAAAATGTGGCTCTGAGTCTGCTCTCTGTAACTATTGCTCTTATTGCAGGACGAACAAATGTCGTTTCTTCCGGCCATTTCGTTGCCTTCAAATGCCTTATCATTCGCATTTAAACGTCGATTTGGCCCTTCTGACAAACTGAGGTTACAAATCTTTCTGTTTCTCTTTCTCTTTTTTCTTTTTTCTTTCCTTTTTTTTTTGTAAAAAAAAAAATCCGAGTAGAGAATAAGTTGTTATTCTTGTCAAGAATGGTTCAACTCTGGTATTTATTTAGCATACAAACGAGATGTTTTACTTTGTGTCTGCTTCTTAACAGATAAACTTCGGGTGAATGTTTTTGCATGAATCTAAAAAGTTAATTTGGCCAGCCATTTAAGCATGATCGATTGCCATTTATCTTCAGTAGTCACTTCTCATGTAATTTTTTTTTTAAGCTTTTAAGATTTATCTCAATGATTTCATTCATGTGCAGTTACTGGTACAATTTCGACGCGGACAACTGGAGTGCAGTGTACAAGCACACATATGGTAAGGACTTGAAGTTTAAAACTGGTTATGATTCAGAGGTGCGCCTTGGCTGGGCTTCACTTTGGGTAAGTCCTTAGTCATTCTACATTCTATATTTTGTTACTTTGGATTTGGGACACTGGGGTGGATGATATTTACTTTGGGTTTGGTTATGATATTTCTTTTTATGATTGCAAATTCTTGCATTTTCTTGTACATCCATGTAGCATTATGGTGCAATTTTGTTCCGTGTTTTCGAATCAAATTATCTAAAAAAGATGTATATAATTAAGAAAAAAAAAATGGTCTAAAATTCTTTGGAGTCAGTTCTGGTATTTGTGTGTTTCTCTGGCAATTCCATGTTCTATTGCAATTTCCTAAATGATGATGATGGCGGAGTGCGTACTTAAAATCGAAAAGATAAATAGCTCCATAATTGGTCATCGGTAGATGCTGGTAATTTAAATGAGACACAGACTGGACAAAAACTTTCCCGTGCTTCGAATATTTTGTGATATCATAGTTGACTTGCTGTGGAATCATATGTATCATCAGAGTGAATAACTGCAGAACGCATTATTTGAACTGCACTTTTTGGGAACTCTGAATCCTATTCTATGATTAGAGACTCCAGTGCTTCTCAAGTTTAGCTCATAAACTTTTGAAGTAAAATCTGATCTAATATGGTGGATTGACGTTTCGTTTTCTGGATTCTAAATGTATACATTTTCTTTTTCCAGAATATCCTTCAGTCTAAAAGTATAAAATGCATTGAAATGCAATGAAGCTAAAAAGTTAGGGAGTTAAAGCAATTGTGTGGTTGAAAACTCATTAAAACAAAACTTCTTGGTATTTCTTTCCTGGGAAATGGAACTCGCTGATGCTCTAGAATGCGTAGAAACTAAAATGACCAACTTGGTTTCAGGTTGGAGAGGAAAGTGGAAAAGCAAAGGCAGCTCCGTTGAAGATGAAAATTCAATTTATGCTCCAAGTGCCACAAGACGACATAAAATCATCAGCCTTGATGTTCCGGGTGAAAAAGAGATGGGACATATGAATAATAGTGTTTCTGTGGGGGGTGAGATCTCTTTGTTTTGTTCTTAGCTTAGCATAGCTTTGAAGTTGATACATCATCGCTTGCTGTAATGATACATGCTTATTTTTTGCGTAATGACAATGCGTTTCTCAACACACTTGTTTTGGGTTTTGAGAATTCCTGCTTGGAGTCGGTGGGTCTATAGAAAAATTCGTCGGCTGTGAATGAAATGCTTGATTTGATTATTACAAATGTGAAGCAGAACATTCACTTGGATGTTACCAGTTTCAAGTTTGTATCTCAGAAGAAAACAGTATGAATATGATGGAACCTCGACCTCTTCACAGACAGAATTGCCTTTTGCCAAACTAATTTGCACTTTTGCTTATAGATGGATAGATAGAGACAAGGAAAAGCAGCTCGCTCTGTATGGCATGGCATGGCTAATAAATTGAGAATGTGAAGAGACTTTTGCAAAGAAAATGTGGTCCTTTTTTTTTTTTTTTTTTTTTTTTTTTTTTCAACTCTGTTATTGTGTGGTAGTCCTATCGCCGTATCCCTAGCTTACTTGCTGCTACTCGGGCCCAATTTTCGGATGTTAACATCGAGTCATCAAATATGATTGTTATTCTTCTTCCTTCCTTCTCCTCATAATATTTTGTTTATGATTGTTATTACTAAAAAACACGGAAGGACATTAATACCAACGTGACAACTTGGTGTTCAATCCACCATTTTCAAAGGATCTCCGGGAAAACAGAATAAATAAGCAACATATTGATGGTAAAGAGGTTATTTATTTATTTATTTATTTTTTAATTTATAATAATCAAGGTAAAGAGTCGATAAGTGTAGAATATTCTTAGTGATGCAGTCGGTATATATAATGTGAGTATAAATGTATATTAAGATTGCCATATAGTCTTAGTCGGACCTAATTCTTCTACTTTTTTTATTTTTTATTTTGTGGTAATCCGTTTTAATTAATTACACGAGTAATCAAGCATTCCAAAAATGATAACAACGCTCTTCATTGTTGAGTGATATATCCCTTTTGTTTAACGAAGAATAAAAACCTTAAAACGGATTCTTGGTCACAAGGTGACTTTTGATGGTTACAAAGAATATCGTGTAAAGTGTAATTTCATAATTAGTTTAGTTAATTTCCTCTATAGGAATTAGTTATATTTTAAAAAAGAGACTGAGAGAGAAAATAAAAATAAAAAACAGGAGCAAAAACACTGTAAAGTTACCTCCTCAAAAGAAAGAGGATACTGTAAAGTTATAATTATTAGTTATAGTTAGTTAAAAAAGAGAATCCATAAAAAACGGATCTTTTTGTTTTGGGGTATTAAAATCTATTTTTTTGCTAATCGTATTAAAATCCTAATTGGTGCGCGTAACATTATGTTATGATAATGCGCACATGCATAAAATATATGCGTATGTATGGTGGTGCGCGGTTGCGCGTAAAAGGGGATACCAGAAAAGAGGGAAAAAAACAAAAGAAAAGAAAAAGCTGTCAAAAAAAAAAAAAAAAAACAGGTAAAAAAAGAAAAAAAGGGGAAAAATCAAGTGAGCGAGAGGAGAGGAAAGGAAAGAAAGAATAGAATGACGACGCCCATACCCATACCCTTGAGGCTTTTTCTGCCCTTCACCGCCGCCACCGCCACTTCGGCCTCTGCCACCGCCACTTCGGCCTCCGCCACCGCCACCGCCACCGCCATTACAGCTTTTGAAAATAAATTTGCATCCAGGATTTCCTTCAAATCCTGTCCCCCACTTTTCCCTAATTTCGTCGTCTCCTCCTCAACGAACTCGCCTCATCTCTCCCGACGGACGGTATATATATATATATATATATATCTCTCTCTCTCTCTAAAAACTTACAGGAATGGCGTCTGCATGTTGAGTTTGAGTTTCATCTTCGGTATTTGAGACTTTTCGGATTCAAAACTTACTCGAATAAGTAAGTTTAAAATGGGAGGGAGGCATGTCATGTCGGTTCTTAGGGCTTAGAAATGTTTTACCTTTAGCCTTACCAAATAAATTACACTGCTTTCTATTTCTAAGGAAAAAGCTAGCTACCACGTTACATGTCCATGTCTTATCTTCACTTTTAATTTTGGGAAGTAAGTTTAGCAAACACTCATTTTTTAATGGTTCTATCAAGAAGAACAATTTAGGATTTCTTTTTGTTGTTGAGGAACAAAGGCCAAAGCAAAGCAATGGTGATTCGCAAGTAAGTTTAGCAAACACTCATTTTTTAATGGTTCTATCAATAAGAACAATTTAGGATTTCTTTTTGTTGTTGAGGAACAAAGGCCAAAGCAAAGCAATGGTGATTCGCATTACTCGTGTTGTCGTTTAGGAATTTATTACATATACAGATATTGATTTTTATGGGGTTTTATTTGGTGCTAGTGCTAGCATTATTTAACACCAAGTATAAGTATAAGAGGAAGTGATGTCTTCCCTTCTTCTGTTAGCGTTGCTTTTGATTGAGATGGTCTTTCTTTCTCTCAAACTTTTAATTTACATTTCCCAAGATGTGAAAGTGAAACTTCCCCAAAGTCGTTTACTTACAATTGGGCCTTCCTTGGCTACAACTTGTATTGTATTGTATTGTATGATAACCACTTTTTGTGGGCAGATGGTTTTCACTAATGATTTACTATCAGGGGCTATGTTTTTCTGTACTGGTATAGTGGCTTTGCGGACACAAGAGAAGAGACAATAGAGACAGGGATAGACAAGTCGACGGCAGGACCTTTGCAGAGAAAAACGATGCCCGTATGTTTGGTTCTGATGAAGACGTCGGCACCCAAATCCCAACCCAAGCTCAATCACTTGTTCAAGGATCAGGGGCAGTCTTGGTATCTGAGTTTAAACCTGTTCCCGATGTCGATTATCTACAGGTTCGGTCATCAACTCTTGATAGAAATTGTTATTTGTTGAGAAAAGTGCATGTGTGTTGTCCCACATGAAAAGTGGATGAGAATGTGAAGTGGTTTATATATATGGAAGGACCCAAGACCTAATAGGTTAACCTTTTGAGCCAAGTTGGGTTCCTGAAGTGTGTTGGGCCAGTTTCACATGTGGAGTCTCCCTAACACCATTAGTTTTTCCCGGGCTACTTACTTTTCTGGTCGGTTAATGATAGTAGTAATCATCCTGTACCCTGTTTCTATTACCAAATTGTTTACGCTTTCTTTTGCATTATGAGCACTCACACACTTATGAGAAGCAATCAATGTAAAGCTGCCTTGCAAATCAAATAAAAAACAAAATTCCCCTTTTGTGTTAGATACATGTTTCTTTTCTTGGAAAAAGAATCAACGTTACAATGTGGAGGACTTTTTTGTTTGGCAGGAATTATTAGCCATTCAGCAGCAAGGACCTAGAGCTATTGGCTTTTTTGGCACGCGCAACATGGGATTCATGCACCAACAACTTATCGAGATTCTTAGCTATGCAATGGTTATCACTGTAAGAGCTCACAACTCAATGTATGTTATGTGGCATCTTTAGGTTTCAGTTTTTCTGCACATATCAGGTGCTTTGTAACTCTTTAACATAACAATACAATATGCATTGCCTATTGCCCGTTGCCGTCACGTTCCTAATACTGCTGCATGACGCTGTCGTTTCGTTCACAGAAAAACCACATATATACATCAGGAGCATCTGGTACTAATGCAGCTGTTATCCGGGGTGCTTTAAGAGCAGAAAAACCAGAGCTTCTTACAGTAATCTTGCCTCAGAGCTTGAAAAAGCAACCACCTGAGAGCCAGGAATTGCTGTCAAAAGTAAGGATTATTATAAAAAAAAAAGTTACCCTCTTTAGTTTACTTCATTCCTCTTGATAGTTGAACTCATGATTTGTCTGTAAATTTTCAGATAGTTTTTACTCACTGAAAGATACTAAATACCGAATTTCTATGATTTATGTTTCTTTTGAAAACTGTGTGGACTCTTATCAACATTTTTCGTGATTATGTGGGACGACTAATAGAGTATAATGTGCCATACAATATTCTTTAATCATCAAAGTAGGACTGGCTTCTGGAGGCGGAAACCAAACAATAAGTTGTCTCACAGTTATAATATAAACATGCCTGACCGGCTAAGATAAGGCTTGAGCTAAGCAAAGTGAAGTTACAAATGAAGCAATCACAAAGTACTTAAGTTCCAACCAATGTGGCATAATAACTGATTTCATTATCCAAAAAAGGGTAATTAACAATCGCTAATCATTTTGTGGAATTGGCAGGTGAAGAATGTGATAGAGAAGCCTCACAATGATCATCTACCCTTGATCGAAGCCAGCAGGTTTTCCCTACCTTCTTATATTGTTTTAATTCTTGTAATTTTCTAAAAAGTAAGTTATTTAATTACTCATGTCACGCGCCCATAGCAGAGCATCTCTTAGGGCCACATTTAGAGTAGATTTTACTTTTGGCTTGGGCAGTAAAAACACAGAAGGAAAAGTAAAAGTTCTGTAGCTTTTACTTTTAGTTACTATTTGGATCACATATTATTTGGATCACATATTTTAATATAACCTTTCTTTTTCATGTATGGGGATGACAACAGAATTATGTTCATATTATTTTTTACCCAACAAGAAAGCATGTCAAACAGATACTTTTGTGTGTGTATTATGTATACAAAACCGGTAGTTGTTTATGATTGATCATCTGGCTGCCTATTATTTTATAGTTGTACTCTCCGAACAATTCTTTTTCCTCCTCTTGAAAGGCATTTTGGTTTTACTTATTTGATTGTTCGTTGTTGAAACTGCAGACTATGCAACATGGACATCATTTCACATGTACAGCAAGTCATTTGCTTTGCCTTTCACGATAGTAAATTGCTCATGGAAACTTGTCAAGAGGCCCAGAATCTCCGGAAGATTGTGACTCTTTTTTACCTTGATTGATACAAATAATTCTTTCTGTGCATACATTTAGAAGAGGGGCTTATTTTTGTCTGTAAATTACAAGGATTGAGGACAACTTGGATGATGAATTTTGTACATCTTATCTTAATGGCGAAGAAGGAGGCCACCAATTGCTCCCACTCCCTTCGTTGTCGAAATGGACATGCGTCATCTCCTCTCCTCAATGAGCACTTGCAAGGTTTTTCCGAGCACATAATTGTAATTTTCTTTTTTACCAAAAGGACGGGGTAAAAAAATCCTCCTCATGTTTAGAATTAGGGGTAAAACTTTTAGTTGACCAATCCATTTTTTAGAAGATACAAAGCACCCATTTTTAAAACGATCATTTTTAACACAAGATACAAAGCACCATTTTTATTTACTCTCTTTCTTCCTAATCTTATGGAGTTTTAAGGCTGTTAAAAAATAGAGCAGTGCTATATGCCCCGAGTGGTGAATCCCACGACTCTTGACACACAGCATTTTCCTAAAAAATAAGCTTAAGCTTTAGTGCTTGTATTTCTAATTAATTTTTTAACGGGGCCGCCAACACGTATTAGAGACACTTGTAAAGTTTAAAGAGATTGAGAGAAATTAAAATTAATACGTCAATTTTTAAGAGAAGTTGTAAATAGGGCAATCTGATGTAAATTTTAAATTTACAACCAATTAAAATTTTAAAAATTCCGTCTTGATAAATTTACTGTGTACATTTAAAATTTACTCTTATATTTTGTACAATTCTTAAAAGAGTATTGCTAACTTATTAATTCTTAAATTTACTAAATATATCTAGAATTTATCATTTTTTAAATAATTTTAACTTGAAAAATCTTGAATTTACAGTGTATTTGTGATTTACCATTAGACTTTGTTACGGAATAATACGTTTCATCATTCAACATGTGTACATTTCAAAACGGAATTCCGTCACATAGAAACATACAGATCTCCAATAATAGTAATCTCCATAAAGAAAAAGTGGTGTTAACCTAAGCAAACCTAAAATAAAGCAGTTCACATATAGTTGACTTTACGCTTTAAACAAACCTGAACAGAACAAACAGAAATAGAATTAGAACTAGAATTTAAGATCCGGGTTAGGTGATGAAATGGTTGGAAGCTCCACGTACATGGTCCACAAGATCAACGAAAAGAGTATTCTCGTACATACATCATCAGTGGTGATTACCACTGCTGATTTTCAACCAATGGGACTTTTTATGTCAAATATGACACTCGCATATTATTAGCACATGATCTGCTCATTCCCCGCATGAGTGATTAGTGAGTTGTAAAAAAACAATTAGTGACCAGTACATTAGAACCGACTTTAATCATTATTACATGAGATGCAAAACGCTGTAAATCGCCACACACTCAAATATCATCTTATAAACAAAGAATTAAATAAATAAATAAAGTCATAACATTCAGGGTCCGATGTACAAAAGCTATCCAGGAAATGGGCTTAGTGCAGAATGTCAATATGTATGTGCATATGAGCCTCCCCAATTTCTCGTAGGAGGCTACCAAAACTCCTATTAGTAGTAACTATTAAGCATTGGCTTGGTAATAACTGCAGCAATAGAAACACAAACCTTCCTAAACTCAGTAGTCATGTTCATCTGAGAAGTTTCCATCGCTATCTTGCTCAAATATCTGATATTCTTCATCACTGGTATCTGCATTTTGTATTTTATCACCTCCTGCCTCAGTGGACGGAAAACTACCAAAAAGCTCCTGCAAATGTGTTCTTGAGACGCTTTCCATGTTTAGATCTAACTCATGTATAGGAAAACTGGTGATGAACTCGCATCTTTTCTTTCTTTTGTTTTTTTTTTTTAGTATAATAAAGATTCTAGTAAAAGGATACATGGATGTGATTGCAAAGAGATTTCATCGTCAGCCTACAAAAAAAGGTAATATAAACAACAAAAGGAGGAAGGGATAAATGACCTAAAAGACAACATCAGAAGACAAAAACAGATAGTGAGTGCATAAGACAGTAACACCAGATCAAGTTATATGCATCAAATACCTCTTCATCGATTTCTTCCTCTTCTTCCTCGTCTTCGACAATGTTAGGCTCCTGAACATCTTCGTTACCTGTACCTCCTACAATGTACTCAGTGAGTATCACCTAGATTAGCTTTTGACGGGTAAACAAAGTGATTTTCGCATGATAATTGAACTAGTTTCATTCGTTACACAGAACTACTGTATATCGCCAGCAGGAAAAAGAAAAAAAAAATCACCAGGGGCAATAATCGTAACAGCCCAAAAGAGTTCAGAAGCTATAACAACCCAGAAGTTGTAGCTTATGAAAGCCGAATTTGAAATGTGTAAAAATAGCCATCATTCCCTATTGATTGCCTCCCCCCACATCTCTATGCTTTACAAGAAAAAGTTTGCGGGTAAAGTAGTATTAGAAACAAACTCTGAGCAATTGTTAACTACTATTTTGTTTGTTCGTGATACAAGAAAATTCAATTATGTACTGAAATTTTGGAATTGTTAAATATTAACAACTGGAACCGGTGCTAGAGAATAATCTAGTTGAAGTAAAACATGCACATAACAGTGAAAACTCAAAAACCAAGGAATCTAATGGTTTTCTGACCTGAATCCACTTCTTGGCGTTCTTCCTCGTGAAGCATTACACAGTCTTTGCTTAGCCTCCTTTTTGACTTTTCAAAGTTTTCAGTTGCTTCTTTAAGTAAGTGTTCAGCACCAGGTTTAGGATATGTGGATAAAAACCTAATTGAAATGCGATGTCTCAAGCTATCATGAACTGTAGACGAAAACCACCCTGTTCCAGGCTACAATTACAAAGAACAAGAAAAATAGTGACCTGATTAAAAATGTAGATTACAACTCTGCAATGAAAGCAAAGACTCCAAAGAGAAATCGAAAATATTAAGTTTAGCTTGTATGACAAAATGGCGGAAACTATAATTTTTGGTTAAATGCTTTGACAGTTTTTCTCACTAAGGTTGACTTTGCCATGCAAAAGACACATAAACACGTATAAGTAGCTTATCTTAGAATTGCTTAGGGAAAAATTTTCAGACATGGAGAAAACGATCACGCAACAGAGAATATTATAGCAGTTCAAGTGAAAATTTAGGTAAGCTGCTTCAAATTGGAAGTGCCGAAACTCTTGTCTGAGCCAACTTCATACCTGTTTATATTCGTTGGCCAAAACCTAAATAATTTGGTTCAAAGTTCTCACTGCCAAGACAAAGCCGAGTCATATACACAAGAAACAGCATAGTTTAAGCTACAGTAAACTGCTACATGAACCCAAAGAAACAAAATATTTTTTTATAAGCTCTTTACAGTCAACTTTTTTTTTATCCAATTACCTAGATGCAAGGTTTCAACAAAAAAATAGGATTCTACCATTGAAATCTAGAGTAAAGGGAAAAAAAATGGTACTTCACATTTTTAACCCAAATCTTGATTTTTTAGGCAAGGAATGAGAAACTGACAGTGCAAGTCTTTTGACTCGGAGGCTTTCTTATCTCTTGTTGAATGTAGTCATCTGCAAGTTCAAATAGTTGCAAGGACGTTTGACACTTGACCGGAAAAACTTGAAATGTACATATATCCCCCCACCTCTGTTTTTCTTTCTTGCCCCTAACAAAGGAAAAAATAGGGAAAAAGAAAGATAAAAAATGGTAAACATTGGAGTAGAACTATTTGCAAGCTAGCAAGTAAATAAAGCAAATATGGATGATAACGAAAACTAAAATACAAGTTCGAAAAATATGGACATTTCCTATAATCTTATCCTTGAGTCTAATTATATGTAAGCTTCGGAACTTACTGGTTGGTAACGTTAGCATCACAATAACTTCGTAATGATGGATGAACTCGGAAATCAATTCTCTGATATCTGCTAAACCAAAAGGCCAGCACTATCATATTAAAAGCAACTCTAAAGCAGCAATAACCATGTACAAGAAAAATCATTTATTACCTTAAACAAATGCACTTCAAAAGAGCAGAAGTTGGTCTGTTTTGTGACTAAATTGTACACACACACACACACACACACACACATATATATATATATATGTATGTTTATGTATATGAATATGCGTACGTATATATCTACATGTGCATGTGCGTGCATATAATATCGTGTGTGTGTACCATGCACACATAAAGTACAAAAGTCTTACATGCGAGAATCAGGATCTTTCCGAGGATCATATCCCTTTTTGATCCAGAACCTGAGAAATGGTCCACTTGAAAAGTAGTATGCCACTCTAGACAGAAGCCTGCAAAAATGGAATCAGTTAAACCACCACCACCAACAAGAAGAATTATTTCTTCAATTGAAATTGAAAAGTTTCTAGCGGAATACACCTTCTAAGCATATGATCAACAACATTATAGCCCTTATCAACTAAACGCTCATTAACGGAATGCTTTATCCATATAGGTCGCTCATCAAACAGCTTGGATACAGCCATCTGTAACTCCCATTGATATGAGCCCTTGGGTATGTATTGCTCCCAATTTATTATTCTCTTAGGTATCTGTAAGAATTGTTAAGTATTACAGAGAGAAAAACGACCTAGAGTTATGTTGACGTGCAGTGTTTTTAAGTTCCAGCTCTTCATAAAGATTGAAACTAACAAAATCTCACAAACTAGACATAAGTCTCCAACTAAGAGGGAAGTCAGATAAACAATACTATAAAACAAAGACATTGAAACTAAATCTAAACAAATAAAAAGATAAACTAGAGAATTAGGATATCAATGATGTTAAAATCGATTGCAAGAACAAGCTCCATGTCTATCTGCACCAGACAAAATAATGTGTCAGTTTGACCATTGTGCAACCTTATTGGGGATTTAGTGTTAAAAAAGAGGCATGAGAAGAAAGAAATAAAACAAATGATGGCTTCTAGGATATGAAAAGAAGGATAAAAATAAAAAAAAAATCGTCATAACAACAACTAAAATGTGATGCATTGATGAATTAAGTTCAGTAGCAGATAATTAGCACAAATAGTTGGAAATTCTATTAACTAAATTTATTTGCAATACGCATTACCTCCAAATCCGGATGATTTATTGCTTCTTCATTCTTTTTTGAACTCAATATTACTGATGGCCTCAACCTGAAGAATCAATAAGATTCAGAGATACCACTTAATCAGCAGCAAAACATTAAATCATTCATCTTTCAGACTATTTTTTATTCCCCGTTTGGCCAATTTCCCAAAAGAATTCCAAAAATCTCATGTTTTCCATATAAACTAACCACAATGAACATCTTAAAGTAAATATGAAACAAAACGCATCCTCAATTAACATAGCACAACATCTTACACTAAATTCTCAGGAAAATCCTTGGGTGCAAAGAGCGGCGGCACTAACATCATTACATCATCCTCGTCAACATCCATAAGGCCATTCTTCTCTAACACAAGCACAATAACAAGTAAAAATATTACAAAGAGAAGAAAAATATTAAAAGTGATTTTAATGTATTCCCAAATAGTAGAAAAGAGAGAAATAAAAAATTCACCAGATAGTGGCTCCTCCAGTTCTAGCCACTTTCTCTTTTTCCTGCGGGCAACATCTGCATGAACTGCAGTCACATGTTGGTAGTCAACCATCCCTTGAAAGAGACACGTAAACAAACAGGAGAACAAAATCAGCTAAAACATTGTAAGAAAAGGCTTCAATCAAGGAGGCTTAAGTTATGAGATACTGCTGCAAAGAAGTTACACCCTAACTAACCATCAAAGTGATAAGCCTCGAGGACGCGAGCAACAATGTCAGCACAAAAGTTTGTTTGATCATCTTCAGGTATCTGCACATCAACTTGTTTTGCGGAAGAAGTTGATCCACTTGCACGTGTTGTATAAGTATAATCCAAATTATTTCCATTTTGCAGAGCTGAGGGGCCAGAAACTTGAGCATCTTGTCCATTTGAAGACTTAATTCTAGATAATTTAAGCAACAAATGGTTACAAGGACGGAGGTCCCCGAATGCGGGATGTGAATAGGGGTCTTCGGGCCGAAAGTGGAGCTCCAACCTATTTGATTGTAGACTCCGTGCCTGCAAGTAATCTCAAGTTAGACGAGCAAATGAAGATGTTGTTGCAGTTGCATATATGTAATGTAATGTAATTTGGTTTATATGATGATCCTAATTCTATTTCTACATTAGATTACATTACAGTAGTAAAAGTACCTTATGAATTGCTTCAAGACCTCCAAGAGTCTCAACGGCACGAGATATGGAGGAAGGATATCCGGGATAGTTAACGGCAAATGCTTCCTTACTTGGCACAAACCCCGAGACTCTGCCGTCTTTTTTTATGACTCCCATTTGCCTGCCACTGTCACTGCCACCCACCCTAATACTACTATTACTATTACTCTTTACATACATTTTTACAAATATCTTGACAAATTAAACTAAGAATTTGAATTAAACTCGTTTTAAAAAGTAAAAAAGCAGATTTCTTTCTCGGCCTAATTCAGAATTATTATTATTATTATTATTTTGTATGGATTGAATTGGATAAAAATAATAATAATAATAATTAAAGCCCTAATTTTGCTAACAGTCAGGAAGTAATGAGGAGAAACATTTTTATGCTCTGCTCAGCTTACCTTTCAGTTTCAGTTGTTTTCTTTTTCTGTGAATAATTCCTCCTCTTCTCTTAACAACAGGAAACTTGAAGGACAGAGTGAATGAATGAAGACTTGGATAATCAGGTAGGTTCAGTTCAGAAAAACTCCAGAAGAGAAGACGAATGTGAAAAAAAAAAAAAAAAAAAAAAAAAAAAAAAAAAAAAAAAAAAAAAAAAAAAAAGCCTCCCCTGCAGATGTTGCTCGATATCCAAACCAATCGGCAATTACATACATTTACGCCGCCGATTTTCGATGTTTTTCCCTCCCGCGTTCTCCAAACCAAAAAGTTGGCTCTTCAACTTTAACAATTTTTCAATTTATCCCATAAAGTTTGAACTAATTAACATCTTTTATTAGTATTTATTATGTTAAAGTCAAACTGAAAATGGAGAGTTAACTTTGTATCCAAAAAAAAAAAGAGAGAGAGAGATAACTCTGTTCACGTGTTTTTTTTTAACAAAAATTCTAACATAAATACAATGTGACCGCATTATTATTTTTTTATTTATTTATAATAAATATTTTAAAAAATTGAATTAAATGAGACTTTTAAAATTTTTTGAGTAAAGTAGACATATTTAAAGTTGACAAACTGTAAATGATCTGAAGTTGAAGGATACAAGTGAGACTAATTTAAAAAAGAAAAAAAAAAACTAAAAAAAAATCTAAAAACAAGGAAAAAAAAAATGCAACAACCTTTTAAAAAAATCCCCAAACATCACACTACCAGTCCTCACCCTTACCTTACACAACGAAGCCGGCTGCATTTCGTAGTTCATCCTCCAAAAAAAAAAACAAAAATCAAAGCTTTTGTAGAATTTATATTCTAAAGTCTCATTTAGTTCGTTGATTTAAAATTTTAATTTAAATTGATATGTGATTTTATGTGAAAATTTTTTACTGTAGTAGAAAAATTTAGATGTGATTTTTTGTAAGGATTTTTAACTATAGCAAAATTAAAATTAAAAACTCGAATCGGTGAAATGAACGAGTCTTAAATCAACCAAATCGCCACATGTTTCAAAGGAAAAAAAAAGGTTAAATTGACCCCGAAAAATATAAATTTTCTCACTTTATCTCTTAAACTTTTAACCAGCACTAATAATATGTGAGCTTAACAAATATTGTATCAATAATACCTTTGAAATAAAAGTGAAAAATGGACGGATTTCAACAGCTGAAGTTATATAGAGGCAAAATTCAACCTCAAATCCTCTAAAGGGCAAAAATTAACTGATATTCTTCGAGGGCCAAAATTAAAATATGGAATTAAATGCTGGGAGATTGTAAAATTATAATGACTTACATTGTTACTTTCCCAATGGAATTTTTATATTCCATCTGTTTTATATAATCTTCATCATTCTACACGTATTTATTGACTGAACATATACATATTGATAAACCACCATGCATGTTTGAGTCGGATGACCGTAAACTAATGAATTAGATGTACAAGAAAGAAGGGACATAACAAAATCAAGAAACAATCAAATTTAACGAATTTCAAGATCACTAACAACAGGTGATATGACAATAGGACTCCTAACGGTAGGAGTTCCATTTAGTTCAACCCAAACAAGTTCACCAAATTTATTGTCACACTAACTAAATGATCGCTTATCATATTCATTTTCAAAAACCAATATTTCTGGCGACACGCTCACTTCAAAATCTCCTGGAGTTGGAGTTGTTGCCTTAACTTGATAAGTCACAGGACCTCCTGTTCCAACATTGGTTAAAGTCCTTTGCAACTTTTCAACCATCAGCGCCTCTCTAGTATCATTATTGTGGAAAGCAATAAAGGATGGATAATTAAGATCTGGAGATGAATAATTATTGTTATTATTACTGCTACTAGGGCACTTATAGTTGATTGACCCGGTCATAGCAAATATTTGATACGAGGTGAAATTCATGGAGCACAGTAAGTTCACATAATCTTTCACCCGGATTAAGTGCTTTATTAGGGTCCATTTGATCTGACCCCATAGCTCAAGGCGTCGCGCTATGATTGTCAATACTGTCACGTATTAGATGAAAAGTGTTGTCCAAAGAACTTGTGGTGGTCATTATGGCAGACCTAATTGCCGCCGGACTCCATTTGGGCCGTGCAACTTTCAGAAGCGCAGCCACCCCGGCAACCTGAGGACAAGCTATAGATGTCCCGTACTCTATACTATAGTTGTTGCAGAGTGCTTCAATTCCTTTTGTAGCTACTGTTTTGTATGGAATACAAGCGCCCAAAACTAGTGATCCGGGTGCCATTACATCCGGTTTTTGGACATATGGGGCGCTTTGAGAAGGCCCTCTTGAAGCGTAAGGCGCCACAACAGGTGCTGGTTTTTTGTTCAAAAAGGTCTCTTGAACTTCATACTAGCAAAGGGCCTGTCCGTCAGATTCGGCCTAGTTAGTCAGCATTGCTGCGTCCTTTGATGTCACCACAATACAAGGACAAGGCGTTCTTCTCAGTCTATATAGGTCCGGCCCATCAACAATGACCAATGACCAGTATAGCTCCTGTCAATTTGGACACAACTACAAAAGTTATTTGAATTTGAATTTCTTCCGCTTTGTCACATATGACAAAGCCATATGGGATTTGGGAAAGCAAATTAGAGGAGCTGCATGATGATATGGTCTTGTTGTAGACTAGGGGGAGATTCTCAAACGTATTACTAGTACTAAACTTCTAATTATCCGGAAAAGTAGACCAGCCTACTATAGTTAAGCCATTTCCCAGTGTCAAGACTCCAGCAAACCAACGATCCACAGTACCCGCTGTAACGGTCAAAACCCACGGGATTCTATTCCGCAAAGTTCCAATCTCTAGGCCATAATTTCCCGCTGCGGTTGAGACAACTAAGCCTCTCTTCATAGCCGCAAAAGACGCCTTGGCTAAAGGATCACAATGAAGCAGCATAGCTCCAAGAGGCTGAAATCACATCCACACCATCAGCAATGGCCTTGTCAATGCCTGCGGTAATGCCAGCGCCATTGTTGAGGTGTTCCTTGCTCCATAAGACCTTATACACCGCCAACCTAGCACGTGGCGCGATGCCTTTGGCCGTCCCTAGACCATACCCGAAATAAGATACTCCATCCAAATAGTTTCCTGCAGCTATAGAGGAACAATGCGTCCCGTGGCCTGTGACATCCCTAGCAGAGTCATTGAATTGGACATAGAGAGGGTCTATTTTGAATCGCAGGCCTTCATTGAAGTACCTAACTCGTACGAGTTTGGAATTGCAAAGAGAGGAATTGAAGTCTTGGCCTCCAGCACACTTCCCTTTCCACTTGGTGGGCACATTAGAAGTGGCCATGCCTTGGTCTTTAGTATTACCAGTGTTGATGGGTTGCAAAAGCTTTGGGCATCGCAGACTTGTCCATGTGAACAATATTAGTGCACCTGCTATGGCTATCCACTGTTACTGAGGTTGAGTTTACATGATAACAGAGATTTGACAAATATTTCAACCATCCTGCATAGAATAACATTATCACAAGAAGCTGAGTCACTTGATCACCTGCTAACTTCATTGATTAGGAAATGATCTATCAACACACAAACTCCTAATGATCCAGATTCTACATGAACATTTCGTCAACTACTATCTTCTATATCTATAGGAAATAGGTTCTAGCTATCTCCTTTTCATATACATAATTTGTAAATAAAATTCTATTTCGATGTTGGATACACTGCATAAGTGGCAGAACACTTTTTTTTTTTTTTTGAGCTTTTTAATAGCAAAAAAGGGTCAATTCTGAAAGATGGGATGGCATAAATCTTTTTCATCTCTCACGGCAAATATATTTGTGCAGCCAAATATACATTTTTTTGTAAAAAAAAATAATAATAATAATAAAGGCCAAATACTAATATCTGAAGAATTTATACTGGATTGCTTTCTTTGTATGCATAAAATCTGAATACGAAAATGATACAAGTAATTGGACTGACATAAGTTTGGGGGGCAAGAGTAAAACAAATTAAAATTAGGGCCAATTCTGTGACAACCTCCCTAGTACAAGGAGTTGAATGCAATTACAAAATAATAATACAATAGAAGAGGAGGAGGAGGAGAAGACGATATGGAGTGGGAAGTTGGAAAGAGAGATGGTGCTAATCTATGAAATGATAAAGTCCTCAGTGTTTGTCAGCTACAAATTCACTCCACAAATACTATCATTATGCAAAAACAAAAACAGTCTGTTTGGGATTAAAAATATTACAAAATTCCCATTCTCGTTCCCGTTCCTATTCCCATTCCCAGTGAGGACGAGGAGGATTTGGATTAGAATGATGCACAATTCTACAACTACTTCTGTTGATGCGCTTCAGCAAGTTATACACACTACTCACACCCACACCAACGGTACGGCTACCCCCACGATTATATCAATATTAATTATTAATGAAAAGGTTCCTTCTCATCTTTTTTTTTTTTCCCCTTTTTATTGTTTTTATTATTTGGAGGATTGATTTCTTTTTTCAAAAAAAAAAAAAAAAAAATTGTTGATTTCACAATTTTGTTGTTAAGATTGTTGATTATTATGTGGTAATTAATTGGCACAAGTAACACAAGAACAAAAGAAGAAACTTGTTTGAAACAAACAGGTGGAGGCGGGTGGGAGCAGTGCTGGAAGCAAGGATTGACTCCATGGGATTTGGGGGGTCCTACTCCTCTTCTTTTGCACCTTCATCGCACTGGATCCCTTCCCAAGGGCAGGGCTTTACTCCCTGGTTGCGGTACTGTACGTACTAGTACTCTGCAATTATATTTATGGATTGATGAGATTGTAAACATTCATTTCATGTGTGTCTATCTGTTTATATGTGTATATATATATATATATATATATATATATATATATATTCGCTAGTTAATTGGAAATTGGCAATTGACAGGGTTATGATGTGGTAGCAATTGCTGGTCCTGAACGCTACGTCATTGGGTTAGACATATCAGGCCATGCCATCAACAAAGCCATACAGGTAAGGGTAATTTAAATGCTCATTGAGCGAGCGTCACCAACCACACTGATTTTGGCATACACTGCTCCAAGTTTAAGTTTCTTTCATATTATATATAATTTCAATGACTTCTCCCAAAGCCAAAACTGTGATTGCAGCTGTCTTCCTCGCACCCGAATTCAAGTTATTTTACCTTTCTGGAGGCGGATTTTTTCACTTGCCATCCAACAGATCTGTTTGATCTCATCTTTGACTATACGTAAGTTAATTAAGCTTGGCTTCAGATTCGCCGTCCTGTGCTTGCATTCGTTCTGTGGGAGTTTTAACTCTTGATTTGAAGTTGAACAGGTTCTTTTGTGCAATTGAACCTCACTTACGATCAGCGTGGGCGCGGAAGATGGCAGATATCTTAAAACCAGATGGCGAACTCATAACACTAATGTTTCCTGTATGTAGTAAACCAACCGTGTTTTTAACCTTTCGAAACTACTCTTTTGTGTGCGGTTTCTGATAGACCAATTTGCATTTTGCGGCAGATTAGTGACCATGTTGGTGGGCCTCCTTACAAAGTATCAGTTTCAGAGTAACTAATTTCTGCTCCAGATCCTCTTTTTTTACTTTCTTGTTTCCTCACCGCATGCTCGGTGATGGATGGTGGAATAAATTGACATATTGCAAAGGATATTAAGCTGCTGTAGACATACAACTATTGCAAATGATTTGTTAAATTTGTGCAGTTATGAAGAGGTGTTGCATCCAATGGGCTTTAAGGCGATCTCGATCACGGATAACGAACTAGCTGTTGGACCTCGCAAGGTGTGTTAAATATAAAGCTTCTCTGAGGATAATATTATCTCCCTGATTTCTTTGATTATATTTTTCATTGGAAGAATGTTATGTACCGTTGATGCTATTTGACCTCTGATTTTGGTCTCGAGTTGTTTCTATCATTTTTGTACATTCTTGATTCTCGAGTGTTGACTAATATTGTTGTGCAGGCAAGAGAGAAGCTTGGAAGGTGGAAGAGGTCATCAGTATCACCAGCTAAATCCGCTCTATGATCACAATTATAATAATACTATTTTCCCTTTCTGTTTGGAGCCTTGTCTCTGTCGCTAAAGGTTTGAATCTGTTACATAATAAATAAACTTGCTATTGTTTGTAAGTGTAACCTTGCATCTGAAATCTGAATGTCTGAACACTAGAATCATTTTGGTGATATAATTTAAAACGTTTACATAAGGTGATACGACCGGCATCGTTTGTCTAACTTTTCATGTCTTTTCCAAGGATATCATACCTATTGCCTTTGCGGTTTGCCCTCTGTTGATCTAGATGCGCTCATACAAGTCTTCCGTGTTCCTATATTGACTTGTACCAAAACTACATTTTTGACTATCGACTATTGTTGCTCAGGGTAAAGAGAAGCTTGGAAGGTGGAAGAGGGTCACGACTAACTAGTTAAATTAAGTGCGTTCATATGGCTATCAGAAAACTCACCTTTTTTTTTTTTTTTTTTTTTTTTTTTAAAAAAAAAAAAAATTGTTTTTTTAAGGTGTTTAAAAAAACCCCCTTTTTTTTTTTTTTTTTTTTTTTTAAAGAGAATAGCAACTGTTGTTATTAATGAGAATAAGTATTAGTTACAATAACAGACTCTGCGAGTTTGGAGTTTTCTCTATCAAAATAACTTATCATTAATATTAAGGCTTCGTTCATTTTATTAATTCGAGTTTTATTACAGTAAAAAGCTCTAAAAAACATTCACATATAACTTTTTTGCTAACTTGAATTAAAAACTTAAATCAGCGAATTAAAAGGACCTTTATACACATGACATAATTTATCTCATGAAAAAAAAAATGATAATAAGCTAGATACAACTGGCAATAACAATCTTAACTCATTACAAAAGAAGATTGTTTAATAACCTGGATGATTGCCAATGCATTAGACTCTCCAAATTGGAGATTTAAATCAATGTAGACCAAGCATTCCTAAAGATGATGCAACATCCCAAAACCTGAGGATAAAAATAATTTTGAATTGAGTATTAGAATAAAATGATATGATTGAGAGAAACTAAAAAACGAAAAATGAAAAATTCGAAACTTATCTCGTAATGCTCCAATTAAAAACTTTCCTTTCCTTCAAAATTTTATTCTATAACCGAACCACTCACGATCAAGTTAAAAGGTAATGATTGCAACAACTTCAGGAATATTTTTAAATTACTATCGAAACTCTCACAAAAGAGACTAGTAAAACTCTCATTAAGATAATCCCAACACCATTTTGGAAAAGGCCTTTACACATTTTATTTAAAAACATAACCAAAGAAATGAAACTTAAAAAATAAATAAATAAATAAACTCAAAACGTAACCAAAGGGAAATGAAACTCAAAACGTAAAAGCTAAACAAAATTTGTTTTGGTTTTTGAAATAAATATACATATGTGAATAAAAAACTGAGTAACGTAGTGTGTATATATATATATATATATATATATATTAGAAAATTAGTTATAATAATAATGAAGATGAGGAGATATAAGAAATACTGTAAAAAACCAACTCAAATAATTGAACAAAGAATAAGAATAATAACATAGTTTCAAATCAAAAGAATCATAACAATTATTCTCACATAACTTAAAATAAACACTAAGTCAACAACAAATATTGATCAGAATCAAATACTTGATCGTCTTCACATTAATTATTACAAATACCAGATCGACAACAGATTTGGTAAACTTTGATAGACATAAAATAATCAAATTTATCATCATTCAATCAAGTGTACGATTTAGAAAAGAACACAGTAATTAAATATACCAATATGGTATCAAATTTTAGACTAGTAGTATTACCAAAACATAATAAAAGAAGGAAAAATTCATCAGAAGTAAGAAATTTCACCATAAAAAATTGTTGAATTATCTTGAATACTTGATGACTTCATTGGCAGAATATTATTCCTTTACTTGAGGATTGGTTGATTATTTACTTCAGTAATTGTAAATGTAAAAGGCGGGCAAAAGATGATAATCGGCGACAATGCATGCACCGCCTTCATCCTCGCCGATTGCAATTGAGAGGGAGAGGGAAAGTAACCGTGCACCCACCACACCGCAAAAACTAAATTTGGTAACCAACTCAATCTCGTCACCAAACAAAGACTGAGGAAAATTATGTTAGTCTACACGACCATTAACGCAGTACTAAATCTATACCATATTTCGGTCAGTATCGATAATATTAGTATAGTATAGACCAACACTAATCAATATAACATAAGAGAAATTGTAAAAGTTAACTACTTTCTAAAATAACGGGGTGATAATTAATACATTTTTATTAAAACAATAATCAAATTATGCAAAGTAGTACCATACTCCAATCAAAAAGCTAGAAGTGGGCAAAAGACGTGGTGACGGAGAGGAGGCCAACTTCTTTCTCCGTGTTATGCTCCATTTCTCACGTACTACCCATCTCATTTCACGCCAAATATTTTCTTATTTACATTTTGTTTGTTTGCTTTTTTTTTTTTTTTTTTGCTACATAAACTATAATTGGATGGTGAATAACCAACCATTAACCCCATATTTAGGAGGAGAAAAATAGTAATAATAATAATTAGGAGCGCTTAGAATTTGGTTTATCACACATGAACACAAACATCATTCTCGCTTCTCGTGCCGCTCCTGCAATTATAAGCATCGTTTTCACAGATTGACCATTGCAAACATGTCAGTGAGGTAATTTTGTAGTTCAAAGGTAAGAGAATATCGTGTTCTTTCTGTCGGGTATAATTAACATCGTTTTTCTGGTCTTTTGTTTTTTGTTTTTTGTTTTTTGTTTTTTGTTTTTGTTTTTTTTTGTTTTTAAAAGAAAAAGGACACTAATTCATATGCTGAATATTTTGAGGTGTAAAATAGCCTCACCCTTGACCCCGCATTGCATTCGACTCATTCCTGTCCGTCACCTTAAAACAGCCTCTCCTTGCCTTTCTCATATTTTATGCCTTTTCAGTTTTCACACACACACTCTCTCTCTCTCTTTTCCTTTTTCTTCCCTCCACATTAATATTATTCAAACAAACCAGTACTGATCTTCTCCAGATCCATGATCCATGGACGACCGAGTTGAAGACGATGACAGAGAGGCACTCGCCGGCCTAAGCGAGGTGCCTCCGCCGCCACGCAAGTCTCAAATATCATACAGCCAGCAGCTGAGGGCCACCACTTCCGCTCCTAAACGCCAACACCAAAAACTCCGCAAGCATAGCCTCGACGACTCCCACATTAATATTATCCACCCCAACAACAACAACTATAATACTAATGTTGATCATCAGCACTACTACGCCTCCTCTGGCGACGACGACGACGACTTCTTTCCTAATTGCAACTCCTCCTCCAACCAGCGCCTCGACCAGACTCTCTGTGCGGATCACGGCGACCACCACTGCCTGCAGCCCTTGCCTGAGTTCATCGGCGGTGGTGGCACCGCTCCCATTTTCAAGGTCCCCATTCGAGCTGCCGTCCATCCAGGTCGCCCGCCCTGCTTGGAGCTCAGGCCGCATCCACTCAGAGAGACACAGGTGCAAATTTTTCCTATTCAATAAAATCTCTCTCTTATTAATTATTGCCCCCCACTAATGAATAAAAAAATTTTCGTCATTTGTTCAACAGGTGGGGAAGTTCTTGAGGAACATTGCGTGCTCCGAGACACAGCTGTGGGCGGGGCATGAATGTGGTTTACGGGTTTGTAATCTCAAGGACGCATACGAGCCGGGGAGTGGTCTCGGAGGAAGAGTGACAAGAGGCGACGAGGACGCGACACCGTTCCATGAATCAGCAAACACGTCCCCTATCACGTGCTTGACGGCGGACAACGGAAACCGCCTTGTATGGAGTGGACATAAGGATGGAAAGATTAGGTCGTGGAGGATGGATCAGGCATTGGATCCTCAATCTCCTCCCTTTAAGGAAGGCCTTTCATGGCTCGCTCATCGCGGCCCTGTTCTTGCCATTACTATGACCTTCCACGGTGATCTTTGGTCTGGTTCTGAGGGTGGTGTTATTAGGATCTGGCCTTGGGAATCTCTTGAGAAATCTCTCTCTCTAAAACCCGAGGAAAGATACATGGCTGCTTTGCTTGTGGAGAGGTCATTCATTGACCTTAGAACCCAAGTCACTGTTAATGGTATTTGCAGCATTTCTTCTCAGGATGTCAAGTGTTTGATAGCAGATAACTCTCGAGCTAAAGTTTGGTGTGCTGGATCTCTCTCCTTCTCATTGTGGTATATACATATATGTTTACTTTTCTTTTCTTTTTTTTGTGAATATAAATATAAATATTTATATCTATTAATTAGTTTTAACTATAAAGCACATATACATCTAACATTATAGAAGATTGTGATTCAACAGGGATGCACGTTCAAGGGAGCTTGTTAAGGTGTTTAACATAGAAGGGCAGATTGAGAACAGAGTTGACATGTCCTCGGTCCAACAAGATCAAACCGCTGTAGAAGATGAGATGAAAGTAAAATTTGTTTCTGTGTCAAAAAAGGAGAAATCCGGAGGATTTCTGCAACGGTCACGCAATGCCATAATGGGAGCCGCAGATGTTGTGCGCCGAGTTGCAACAAGAGGCGCGGGCGCGTTTGTGGAGGACCCCAAGAGAACCGAAGCCCTAGTGGTAACTGCGGATGGCATGATGTGGAGTGGATGCACAAATGGCCTGTTAATTCAGTGGGACGGGAACGGAAACCGGTTGCAGGATTTTAACCACCATCCCTGTGCTGTTCAGTGCTTTTGCACTTTTGGGACAAGAATATATGTAGGGTATGTGAGTGGCATCATTCAGGTGTTAGACCTAGATGGGAATGTGATTGCTGGATGGGTTGCTCACAGCAGTCCAGTGATCAAATTGGCGGTTGGAAATGGTCATGTTTTTAGCTTGGCTACTCATGGCGGTATTCGCGGGTGGAACATCACGTCTCCGGGGCCTCTTGACAACATATTGCGCTCTGAATTGGCCGCAAAAGAGAAGTTGTACACCAAAAGAGACAATGTAAGAATTTTAGTTGGGACATGGAATGTTGGTCAAGGAAGAGCCTCTCAGGATTCACTCATGTCGTGGTTGGGTTCTGCTGTGCCGGATGTTGGCATTGTTGTTATCGGATTGCAAGAAGTAGAGATGGGTGCGGGTTTCCTTGCAATGTCTGCAGCCAAAGAAACTGTAAATAAGATTCTTCCTCAATCCTCAATGTGGTTCCTTAACTAGCACTTTTATATTTTTGTACATCTATTATTCCTTGTCATAACCATTTATGTATCGATTGTAGGTAGGGCTTGAAGGAAGTTCAGTCGGACAATGGTGGCTGGACAACATAGGGAAGGCCCTAGATGAAGGAAAAACTTTTGAGCGCATGGGATCCAGGCAGCTAGCAGGCTTGCTCATATCTTTGTGGTACGCCGTTGTTACATTTTTCTAGTAGGCCTGAACCATTAGATTTTTATCAACTTTATAATTTTATTTATTACAATACGATTTAATGATCCATTTATACAATTTACTTGGAGTATATCCTCCTTTGAGAGATGAAATTTCTTGTTCAGGGTAAGAAAGAATCTTAGAACGCATGTTGGGGATATCGATGCTGGGGCAGTTCCATGTGGGTTTGGTCGTGCCATTGGTAATAAGGTTTGTAAATCTTCCTTGACTTCGGCATATTGTTACTAGTTGGCAATCTCTATGTTTCCATTCAAAATGAAGAAAGAGCACTCCCTTGAATGAACATCTAGGCTTAAAAATCTGAACACATATATTCTTGACAACTATATATATATATATATATATGTACACCTAAACAAGCAGGGAGGTGTGGGTTTGAGAATCAGAGTATACGACCGGATAATGTGCTTTGTCAACTGTCACTTGGCTGCGCATCTGGAAGCCGTCAACCGCCGTAATGCTGATTTCGATCACATTTACCGGAATATGGTCTTCAACCGATCATCAAACTTCCTCAATAACGCGGCTGGTATGGTGCCACACCTATATTTGTGTTTCTCTATTGCCTTGTCCACATATTTATCATGCCTCCTTTATTCTTCTGGCTTGCCTTTGCAACTCTCTGCTGCAGCTGGAGTCTCAACTGCTGTTCATATGCTTCGCGGCACAAATGTACGCCTAATTCTTCTCATCACATATCTATTATTATTATTATTATTATATCCATAAATTATAGGGGACTCGATGTAAGAATAGTTGCTTAACAAGTGCTAATCTAATTGGGACGTGCTAAGCTTCTCTGGCAATCTCTTCCATTTAATTAATTAAAAAAGAAAAAGGCTAACAGTACTGAAAATGCCTTACTTAATATGATGCTTTTAGGCTATGGGGGGCAACTCTGAAGAAGCAAGGCCTGAACTTGCTGGAGCAGATATGGTTGTGTTCTTAGGGGATTTCAACTACAGGCTTTCTGGGATATCTTATGATGAAGCCAGGGACTTTGTTTCCCAAAGATGCTTCGATTGGCTTCGAGAAAAGGATCAGCTTAGAGCAGAGATGAAAGCTGGCAAAGTCTTTCAAGGGATGCGCGAGGCACTCATTAAATTCCCTCCCACTTACAAGTTTGAAAGGCACCGGGCGGGTTTGGCGGGTAAGGACTTTGTGATAAGAGCATCATTTTCTAGTTCTAATACGAGTTTGTAAGACTGGATTGGATCGATCAATATTATTTTGAGCTCATTGCTACTTTTGTACATGTATAATCTCTTTTTTTTTTTTTTTTTTTTTTTCAGGATATGATTCTGGAGAGAAAAAACGAATTCCTGCGTGGTGTGACAGAATAATATATCGAGACAATCGGTCAGCTCCGGTTTCGGAGTGCAGTCTAGAGTGCCCTGTAGTATCATCAGTTCTACAGTAAGTTGGCGTTATAGCCATATTTAATGATCTATTGCTTCTTGTTTAATGGCATTAAAAAATTTGGTCCACCTCCTTTAACAGGTACGAGGCGTGCATGGATGTGACTGATAGCGATCACAAACCTGTAAGGTGTAAATTCAACCTTCAAATTGCCCATGTCGATAGATCAATAAGGAGAAAGGAGTTTGGGAGAATTTACAAATCCAATGAGAAGGTCCAATTGATACTTCACGAGTCATGTCATGTCCCAGAAACAACAGTGAACACTGACAACATAGTCCTTCAAAATCAGGACACTTTCAATCTGCAAATCATCAATAACAACACCAACGATGTGGTCGTATTTAGAATCGCATGCGAAGGTCAGTGCACTGTCAAGGATGAAGAACAGCCCGAGTACCATCCCAGAGGCTCCTTTGGCTTTCCCCGATGGCTTGAGGTATTGTCTTTTTCATAGAGCCTGTTTGGCATAGCTAATACTTTTATGTAGAGGAAAAAAAAAATGGAAGCTCTAGCTTTTATTGGAATCTTAAGCTGCCATATGTAGCCTTTGTTTCTATTTTTTCTTCAATCTAGGACTGAAAGCACGAGTGGTGTATGATTGTTAGGTTACACCAGCAGCAGGCGTGATAAAACCCGAACAAATGGTGGAGGTCTCGGTGCGCCATGAAGAATTCCACACTCTGGAAGAATTCGTCGAAGGCATTCCGCAGAATTGGTGGTCAGAGGACACACGGGACAAGGAAGTGATATTGGCAGTGAATGTGCAGGGCAGTTGCTCTATTCAAGCAACCAGTCACAAAATCTTTGTGCGCCATTGTTTCTCCTCCAAGACACTTCGCCTTGACTCTCACTCATCCAGCAGCTCTAAAAGAGGTCAACCAGCTTCATTTCACCCATCCGAAGCTCGGCAGCCCAACAGTTCCTCCGATGCAGATAAATCTTTGAAACTGGAGTTGAAGAATGACAGTTCAAGGCAGTTATAGGTGCATGTCAGAATGTCATCTTAGTTCTCGCTATAGACGACACCACCTTCTACAACTTTGATTGTGCATAACTCAGGAAGCCTGGTTATTCATCATCTCAAACGCTTTAAGACAGCTTCGATTTGTTTACATCACATCCTACATATGACATTAAGCTTTGGAACTTTAACATTTTCTTGACGCAAATTATCTAGTCAATCCCAAATTGTAATTTTCTAGAACGCTCTTGCTCCAAAGCTGCTGTAGAAATGAGAAATATAGGAAGCAGGTATAGGGATTATTTTATAACATCTTTGGTTATCTATACACACTAATTTTTCAGAGAACTTTTTTTCCCCCTCTTCAGTTTGGAAAAAAAAAAAAAAAAAAAAAAAAAAAAAAAATTAAAAAAAAAAAAAAAAAAAAAAAACAAAGAAATTAATAATAATAAAGTAAACATAGAAGAGGGTACAACTAGGTGCAACGAAAACTCGTAGTTGCTATTGCTATCAAATATTACTTACATTGCATTAGGCGGATCATGATTATGATAATCATAAACATCATGCGTCAATTGCACTACAAATAGATCGTGCATAAAAGCCCTGAGAGAATTTTTGTATATATAGAGGTGCCAATCTGCTCAAGAGCAGCCATTAAGTTTAGTTCTCTCTCTTTCATAAGGATAAGCTTTCTAATCTTTACAGAAATTCTAGGATGACCATAACCATAAAGCCGCAAGAAATGGAGAGCTGAATGACCTGAATAACTTACTCCAATGCATGCCGAATCTGTGTGCTCTCCATATCTTCTTAATTCCAGGGTAAGAGGACATTTCAGCATATAGTTATCCCAAGATAAAAAAAACAGAGAAGGCATTCTATCCTTCCGTTTTGACCCTCCAAACACCGACCTTAAAGTGCGTACATTCTCTTATACTCACTGTTCAAAATTTCTGAATCTGATGCCGCCATAGACACAGAGAAAGAGCGGGACCGACTCTCAGCCTTTCTTATATTCCTGAACTTTGTCTCCTCCATCCTATGTAAGACGACACAATAGCACATTGAGCCGATCGTAGTGAGCATGATGGAACTGCCAAGAACTGTTGTAAAGATAGCAAGCCACTTGTGTGATCCCACCACGATGTATGTGAGAGAAATAAACGCGATCGAGATGAAGAGGCATGCCAGCCACATTACCTTATTAATCACGAATACAAGCTGCCTCTTTGCTGTCTGCTCAATCACAACCACAGATGTCTGGACTACCACAACCGCCAGCGAAATAAACAAAGCAAGGCTGTCAAACAAGAAGAAGACAATAAAAGCAGCACTTTTTGCTATATGCGCTTGTCCAAGCGTAAATCCTGGAGTTTCCTTCTCTACAAACTGGCCAGGCACAGTGAAGATGGCTGCAAAAGCAACTGTGGCAATGAGAACCGCCACAACAGTTGCGGAGTTTATGGCATTATTCAGCCCACTAATGTGGAGCTTCTTCAGCCTCTTTGCGATCTTTTGGACCCTAACTCCAGTCTGGCGGGTCTGCTGTAGCTGTGACTGGACATCATGTTTTATGTCGCTGACAGTTTGCTTAAGTTGCTTTGCAGCATTCGGAGGCTTTCCTTGGTCAGTGGAATTTGTAGCCCCCGCTTCTTTTAGAACAGAGACAAGTTCTGGTGTTCCAATTTTTTCAGCAATATCGAGAGGGGTTTCACCAGCCTTGTTAATTGCGTTGATGTTAGCACCTTCAACGGATAGCAAACATCTTACATTCTGCAAGGACATAAAAACGAATTTCAATCACCGATTGATAGCCAAATACATATAAGATAGTGTCAAGCCAAATTTTGAATACCGGATAGAAACAAAATATTTGGGGAGAAGAAATTAAGCTAGTTCAAATTTCATTTACTACGCAAGCAAACTTCATAATTTCATCAGAGAAAGCTTTCTTTCATCAAAATCCTATCTCAACCCTCATGACATGCTGGAACAAGACAAATGTTCAGCATGTGATAGGCATGTCTGAAAGAACTCGAAACTTAAAATTAACTGAGACGGCAAAATTATGAATCACTAAAAATGGGCTGAAAAGAAAATGGGAAAGAAAAAAAGCTAAAGAAGGTACCTCAATACGGCCCTTCCTTGTGGCAATATGCAATGCTGTATTTCCCTTATTATCTTCCAAACTCAAAACTGCAGGATCAGGCTTCAGCAATTCCAGCACAATCACCTCATTTTGCCCTTTCACAGCCATGTGCAGTGCAGTTTGGCCCTTTTTATCAGTCCTAAAACCAGTACTTGGATCCTTGCGTAATAGGGATTTCACCACTTCCAAGTACCCCATCCTCGCTGCTGAATGAAGCACGGTCTTGCCATTGTTTCGGGCTATTTTCACGAGGTTCGAGTCTGTTTCCAGCAGAAGATTTACTATTTCAATGTGCCCCTGGGTGGCAGCAGTGTGTAAGGCGGTTGAATTGGACAAATCCGTGGTCATGGCCAAGTTGGGGAATAAATGCAAAAGTTCCTTTAACACATCTGCAGATAATAAAAAAACAATAAATTGAGCAATGTGGTGAAGTTACGGTCTGATCAGTTGGTAATTAAAGAAGACAAAAAAGAAAGATGAAAACATTGTTAAAAAATGGTCCTGCAGTTTTCTAGACAGTTAAACAGGTTTTACAAATAACATCATTGAAACGCATACATGTACACTGATCTAGCTAACATTAAACTTAGTAACATGAAATAATCGAGTCGAGTGATTGGAAAAAGAGATTACTCAGGAGTAGGCATTGAATTTTTATTAGTAGATTTGCTATTGTGACAGGAGAAACGAAATAAGAGATACAGTAGAAGAGTTAATCTCGAGAATGGTGGATGCAAAGAACTTACCAAGATGACCTTGTCTAACAGCAATGTGGAACGGATCGTAGCCATTTCTTGCTGTGAGGGAAGCCGTCTGAAGGTCCATGTACTTGAGCATCTCCCCGACCATCACGGAATGCCCGCTTTCTGCCGCAACATAAAGAGGTGTTTCCCCCTCCTGATTCGTCCTCGACAACCAATCTACTGATTCCTTGCTAGAACAGCTGTGAAGAATATCTCGGACCCTTGCTAAATTGCCAGCTCGAGCGGCCAAATGAATTTGAGAATCGCCTCTCTTACCGGGGGAATCCTTGTTCTTCTTGTTGCGGTCGCCTCCGCCAATGAAGCTGAGCTGCTTCTCCATCACTATGCGGAAGCTCTTCTGCTTATCCATGAATCCGCGGAAGCTCTTCTGTTTCTCAATTCCCTTGCCAAAGCTTGCCTGCTTCTCCATTACAACTCCGCGGAAACTTTGTTGTTTCTCCATAGCTGCTCCCCTAGAACTGCTCTCTTTCTCCATCAATTGATTATCACCCAAACCCAACCAACTTCTTCCCAGTTGTAGCAATTCTGATATATATGAAAACTCCAAAGCCCAGTAACTAGTTTACTTTTTCCGTGGTCAGAAACTTGAAAAATTTAAATCAAAACCAATTTCCTAGTCCTAGTGCTTGTGATTCTGATATTCGGATTCCAAAGCCCAGAAACTAGAATCCTTTTTCTTATTTATTTTTCTATTTATTTTTATTTTTATTTTTCCATGATCAGAAACTTGAAAGTTTTCTGGAAATCTAAAGACAGCAGACAGAAAAGCAGACCACGCACGCAGACAAGGATCCAATTCTCTGATGACGATGATATATAATAGAAAATTTAGTTTTAAGGCCTCTCTCTCTCTCTCTCTCTCTCTCTCTACAAGATTCAAAGATCAAAACTTGAATACCAACCAACCAACGAAAAAGAGGCTGACGATCGGAGAAACAAAAAGAGGAAGGTAGATATAGATAAGCAAAACCAGAAATACGAGTACCTTGAGAGAGTATTTTTGAGATCCAACGAGGCAGCGCAATCAAAAAAACCCGCTACTTTCCCAAAGCTCAAAACTTTGTCTGAATGGAATCGTAATCCTTTTGACCTTTTCCCCTTAGGAGGGGAAGAAGATCAGATTCTACAAACAAAAACAAACCCAACACCAACACCAACAGCAGATTAATCCTCCCAACTCAGAATATGAGCGCTATCATATTCATGAATGATGATGAATCACAACATTAAAATACTCCCCCAAAAGAAAAAATGAACAGAGCTTTTGAGTTTGAGTAAGACAGACACAACAGACAACATTGCTGAGTCTGAGAACACCACACACCTTTTTTTTTTTTTTTTTTTAATAATTACCAACACCACACATTATTAGACATCTATGTTCAATAATTTATTCACACATTATCTACACCTTATTTTTATTATTTAGATTTTATTTATTTTATCATTTTTAATTTTTAATTTTTATAATTAAAAACACTCAATAAATGTCACATTTAACTTTTTTTAACTTTTTTTCTATAGTTAGAAGCTCTCAAAAAATATAACATCTTAACTCGAATTGAAAACTCAAATCTGCGAAGTGAATGAGGCCTTACTCTCCTACTTTTTATCATTTCTATGAGAATTTATTGGTGAGGTAGATTTAAAAAAAAAAAACATAAAGGGTCCGTTTAGTTTGATTCGAGTTGATATGTGACTTTATATGATAACTTTTATTATAGTAAAAAAGTTAAATGTAACTGTTTCTAAAAACTTTTTACTGTAACAAAACTCAAATTTTAAACTCGAATCGGTAAAATGAATGGGGCTAAAATTGATCTTACTTTTACTTAGGACCAGTTTAATTCGCTGATTCGAGTTTTAAATTCTAGTTGAGATGTGATTTTATGTAAGAACTTTTTATTGTAGCAAAAAAGTTAAATGTGACTGTTTGTAATAACTTTTTACTCTAACAAAATTTGAATTCTAAACTCGAATCGGTAAAATAAACATGACCTTACCTTTTTCAATTTTTTTAAGAAATCATAAAATTTGTATTTTTTTTTTTTGCTATTATTCTCTTTTATCTTATCATAAAATTCACTCCATTTTTTACAATTTTTATGCAACAATCCTTTTTCTCTAACTTCTTAATTCAATACTAAAAGGTAAAAAAAACTGCATTCTATTCGATTTTCATTTTTTTTGGTTAATTTCAATAATAGCACTCATGAATAAATGATTATTAATTTTAGCATCATTTTTGTATACTTTTACAATTAGCATCGCCATGTGAGTAAAAGTGGGACCATACCGTTTTTACTTAAGTTAAAATGACAATTGTGCCTCATTTCAGTTTTAAAGCCTTGAATATATATTATGAAGGCTTTTATAATTAAAATATTCAAAGTAGAGAGAGGATGAGAACGAACGCGGGTGTGTACAGAGACCCAAAAACCCCAACGACCACCAACGTCTACCACCTTGAGCACCGACGAACCCACGACAGCGAGAACCCACCTCACTACATGATGAGAGCCGACGAACCTTCGCCAGAGAAATCAACGGCTAAACCTCTTCGTCGGAGAAGAACGAACCGATGAAACCTCCCCCTTTTCGCCGAAGGTCATTGGATTCTCATTGCGCATTATTTGGTCTGTGACTCTGTCTGATGGCGGGTCATATCATTATGATCGCTTGGTAATTTTATTATGACCAGTCATAAGACAGGCACATCGTACGGTCATAATAATATGACCGACAGTCATAATTACTATGACCGCCCATTTGGTAAGCATGCGCATAGTGCGATTGTCTGACTGATGAGCCTGCAGTCATAGCATTATGACCCTCGGTCATAGTAATGTGACTGCACAATTGTCAGGCTCATAGTGCGACTACCTTGCGGTCATAACATTATGACCCTCGGTCATAGTAATGTGACCGCACAATTGTCAGGCTTATAGTGCGACTGCCTTGCGGTCATAGCATTATGACCCTATGTCATAGTAATGTGGCCGCACAATTGCCAGGCTTATAGTGCGATTGCCTTGCGGTCATAGCATTATGACCTTAGGTCATAGTAATGTGACCGCACAATTGTCAAACTTTTTTTTATGGGCAGTCATCAGTCATAATACTTATGACCGTCGGTCATAGTACTATGATCAAACAATTGTCAGACTTTTAGTGTGTCAATCATAGTACATTAGTTAACAACTTTGTTTGCTTTCTTGTTTTCTTTTTTTTGAATTTACTTTTTTTGTATTTATTGTTCTTTTTTTTTTTTACGAATTTTTGTCATCTTAGAAGAAAAAAAAGACTTTAGAGGAAAAGATGCCTTTGGAGGAAGATAAAGCAGATAAGAAGGTTAGTTATTTAAAATTTACGAGCTTCATTGGATTGTCATTGTGGTCATTTTTGTTCTCTGACTCAACCTTATGGTAGTCATATTATTATGACTGCACTATGACCAACGATATCTTCACAGGAGCTTTCCCATCTGTAACAACATAACTTAAGGATAAACTTTTTCCTTGTGGCTGAATCCCAAGCACATTTCTCACCAAATCTATAAGACCAATATAAGTTGGGTTGGTGGGGACCAATATCCCCTTCATTTCACAACCGACGTATCTCAAAGTACGATCTCAATGTCCATTGTACTTGATGAAGACGTTCAATCCAGCAGTCATTCCTAAATAATTTCAAAAACAATAACTATTAGTCAACATGCAATTACTCCTAGTCGGCATAGAGTAATTAGAAATGGCAAGTCATAACACTGTGTAATGACCGGTCATAAGGCAATCATAGTATGCTAGTCATAACACTATGGGTCATTTTAGTTATATTATTATGGCAGTCCGGTCACATCACTATGACTACCTTATGGATGGTCATAATACTATGACCGGTCATTTTGACCCGTACTGTTATAATTTGACTCATAGACAATGACTCATACTATTATGACTGATTGGTCATATTATTATGACCGAACATATAACACCAAGGTCAACTATGTTTTTGATGTAGTGGTCGTTACAATTAGTTTACATAACAATTATAAACCATCTAAAATCTCAAATTGACGAAGGATAATATCAATTCCTAGCACATTAAGTTCAACTCAGTCATTTTTTTTTTTTTTGAATTATATGTACTAAGTCTCTCTAAAAATAAATTTAAAAAGAAAAAATAAAAGAAAAACAAAAAAAAAAATTGTGTACCAACCTCGATCTGATGCACAATCGGAGTATTGGCGATGATGAAATGAAGGAATAGGGAAGAGAAAGACTGAGTAGAGAGAGAGGCCAAACTTGAGAGAGAGAGAGAGCCAAAAATGGGGTGTACAAAGAGAAAGTATGGGCGTGAGAGAGTTGAGAGTTTCTTTGATGTGTTTTTAAATGATAATTTTGATTTAAATGGTATAGAAATTATTTTACCTCACACTGCTCACATAATTATACTTATGAAAGTATACAAAAAATATTATTAAAATTAATAATCATTTATTTAAGAGTACTATTATTAAAATAAACCATTTTTTTAAAATCATGTTTTCCTACGACTCCATTTGACCGGCAATAATATTTATCGTATATATCATTACTTCAAAAAAGATAATTATAAATAAAACGTGGTGAGTAGCCTAAAAAGGTAATAAAAAGAGCCCAAAAAAAAAGGAGGAAGAATATTTAATAATAAAAAAAACTAGGGGCGGGGCTTTCCCAAATGTTGCGAGTTTTATCCCGCCGCCTTGTATAAAATAATAATAATAATAATAGTAATAATAATTTAATAACAATAATGGAATAAAAACAAATTAGTAAATTACTTTATTATTATTATATACTTAAAAAACAAATAAGTAAACCATTTAAAGAAAAAACCAAATAAGTAAACAAGAGCAGAGCCTAGCTTCTCATCGCACCATTAACCCTCCTCATGACAGACTGGTCAATCAAAGGCTAAACATAAACAGTAAACGATTTTGTATAATATGATGATAAGATTTTGTAGCTCTTTATTATTGCCTGATATTTTGTAATTGATGTAGACGGTTGCTTTCTTTACCATATAATACTTTGTCTTTTAGCGTCTTCTGGTTCTGTTGAGGAGAAAGTTTTCCCTTTGCGTTTAAATAAGAGTAGTTTTACTTTTTCAGACCCCAAAAGCCACAGGAAGTGAATACATAAAAGAGATTCATTATACTTCTCACTACTCATTAATAAAATATAAAATATAAAAGGTCTATTTTTTATTAACAGTGATGTTTAACATTAATGGTATCTTTAATATTTTTCTCATCACATATATTATGCACACGTTCTTTATATATACTGCATCTGAGTGACAATAATTATTGTGTGGAACCACCAATAATGACGCTTTATTTTAACTTGAGCCCTCTTTTTCCTCTCCTCTATAATACATATACATATATATATATATGCACCATAATTAGTTGTTTTATTAATAAATGTAGGAAAAGGGAAGATTTTACAGAATTGAATTTTCAAACAAAAATGTGAAATGGGAAGAAAATGATGTTAGAGATATAGAAGTATTCTCAACTACGTAATTTGCTGGTTACGACTCTGGGTGGTTTCTTTGCGGAGACATCTAATTAATACATTACGAAATGCGCCATTAGATGGTGATGTTCTTATTTTCCCATTCTAAATATATATAAAACCTCTTTTTATTGTCTAATATGAAAATTTATTTGTCTTTTTTATATTTCTTTTTTCTGCATTAATATATAATATAATTTAAGGAACCCAATAGTTGTTTTTTTAATTCTGTTGTGCCGGCCAACCAAATTGGCATTTGGCCTCAAATTGGATTTATTTAGTATCAAAATTCGTGTTATAATTTGATTATAATTCATAACTTATTATAATATTTTTTTTTATAAAAAATACACATAAATTAAAAATAATTCTGAAACGTCTGCAAGCCTCCACTAAATATTATCATTTTAAAAGCCAAATTTCGTCTAGTTACACTTGCTTTGCGTCTGCGCCAAAAGGACGTGGTTATTTTTAATTTTACTGCCACGTTTAAGAAATGGTAATAATGAAAAGAAAATTATTGGTGGGGGAAAGAGGGCAAGTTGACGGGTACCTAAAATTTGTTGGGTGCAAGTTGACGTGTACCTAAAATTTGTTGGGAGAAAATGACAGAAAGCAATGGGGAGTCATTGTTATCTAATTATGGCCCATTCACAATGAATTTTCATTTCATATTATTGTCGCACTAGCGAGCAAGGCGTCCTTTGTTGACTGATATT